TTCCCACCCCTACCCCGGACCACCACCCCTACCCCGGACCACCACCCCTACCCCGGACCACCACCCCAGGGCAGCCCCAGGTACAACCTGCACCCTCCTCGGCTGGCAGCGGGGAATCCTGGGCGCGAAGGCTTGGGGAGTGGGCGGAGCCCCAGGCATTCCTGCTGCAGCGCCAGTGCTGGCGGGAGGAAAGGGGACTTCAGTCCTGGGCTGTGGACCCCCAGGGGCTGGGTTCAAAGCCTGGGGCTGGAGCCTTCCTGGAGGCTGCTTCTGAGGGGGGGGCGCGGCCCACGGGGTCTTCCAGGGCCATGGAGCCAGACCTGGCAGCTTCAGGGAAGCTGTTCTCTGTGGACTGGCAGAGAGGGTCCCGTGTGTGTGCGTGTGTGCATGCTTGTGTGTGTGTGTGTGTGGGGGGCCTCTCGGGCTCACACCCGGAGCCCTCTGAGGGAGGAAGGGTCTGCGTCTCCCTCACCCTGGCCCCTCCCTGGGGAGACTCCCAGTCCCCAGGGTGTGGGAGTCTCTGCAGCTCTGGTGTGCACCTGCCCCTTCCTTCCACACACACCCTCTGAGCATCGCTGCCTGCCTGGTACTGAGGGGGCAGGGCCCGGCCCTTGCAGCACCTGTTTCAGGGAGTGTGGGCAGTCAGAAGATGAGCAAGTGAGGGTACACAGTGTGTGGGATCTGAGGCATCACTGCAAAGGGAGAATTCAACAGGAAGGGGCAGAAAGCGCATGTGCTGGGGGGGTTCGGAGCCAGGAAGGCCCCATGGGCCTCTGGCCTTGGTTGTTTATGCTGCTACAGCAGAATCCCAGAGACTGGGTGACTTATAATGAACAGAAACGTATTGGCTCACAGTTCGGGAGGTTGGGAAGTCTGAGAACAAGGCACCAGCGTCTGGTGAGGGCCTTCTTGCTGCATCAACACAGAGAGGAAGGCAGGAGGGCAAGAGGGCGAAAGGGGGTGGGACTCTCCCTTTTCTAACGAACCCGCTCCCAGTGATGGCACTCATCCATTCACAAGCGTGGAGCCCTCGTGGCTGAGTCGCCTCGTGGCCAAATGGCTGTGCATTTCAACGTGAGGAGGGCAAACATTCAAACCATAGCACCACCTTTCCTCTCCCCAGAAAGTGCAGCCCAGGGAGGTGTGTCAAGCTGCCTGGGGTGCCCAGGGATGGGCTGGGATAGGGCTCTGTTTTCCCCCTGCTGCATTTGGTGACTGCCCTTCCTGAAGGCTGGATGGGCAGGGGCTGGCTGCTGTGAGTCACAGACAGTTCCCGATGGCCACAGGACAGCCACCTCTTGGCCAGGATCTCCCAAGTGGTTGAGGTCAGAGTCAGCCTCTGCCTTCTTGGAAGGGGCAGCCTGACGTGGCAGATTTTACTCTTATACCTCATTCATCATCCTGTGGGCAGAAGGTGGAGTAGCCCCAG